CGGATCCGCGCCAGCTCCATGGCGCAGAGGTGGCCAAACACCTTGTTGTACCACTCAGGAGACCGGCCCCTGGAGAAGGGAACAGGCAGGAGGGGGGTGAGCGGGCAGAAGAGACCCTGGCAGGTGCCAAGGAGCAGCATGCAGCTTCTTGCTGCGGGACAGGCACTCAGCATGGCTCCAGCTGCCACGGACTGAGACACTGAATGAGCACTACATGACAGAAAAGGGAACGTGCCTCCCCCACTCCGCACCGCAGACAACTGGCAAAATGGGGGAATAGCTGTGACCCAACCGGGTGACAGCTCATCCCATCTTTACACCACTACACCCCAGAACAGCTCACCAGAGAGGAGAGTGTGAATGCCACGCTTTGTACTCACGGGGGACCCCGTGTTTTCTGCAGAAGCTTTAAGGGACCTGCTGCCACACTCGGACCCACCAGGGGAACTGCCAGCACTGCAAGACCGAGCTGGTGCCTCCTTTCCTGGTAACTATCTGGCAGCTAAAACCTGGCCGCAGACCAGCGCCCCTTTCCCTCGGGGCAGGCAGGCACCATACTGCGTGAGCTGCAGCCCTGCCGGTGCTGCCAGCCCAGGCACGCAGAGGGATGAGCAGTTCCTGCGCTCCACCACCACCTACTGCTCCACCAACCTCCCCGGCAGCTGATGCAGTGGCACCAAGGGCCCACCCCCTTACCTGAGGTCAGCTCTGCAGATGTGGGTCACTTTGGAGCGGCCTGCGGCGCTGGGCTCGATGAGGTACTGGGAGGTCAGCACGACGGCTTTGACACCTCCCTCCGCCGGCAGCTTGTCGTGCTCCACCGAGATGGAGATGAGCAGGCAGGCTCCCCGTGGCAGGTCCGTGTGCCAGCGCCTGCAGGACAGAACGGCCCCACTCAGCTCCGGTCCCTGTGTCCCCACCCACAGGCAGCCCCTGCCCAGACCTCGGGGTCCACATTGGGAACGGGGAGGTGGGGGAGCCTGTACAGCCCAGGGAGGAGCAGCCAGGGCTGAGGCCAGATGGCATCCACCAAACCGAGACCAAACCCTCCCACTGGGGTCCTTCCCTGCCCTCACCGGAGCACCACGCAGTCTCTGCGCGGGTGGGGTGCCATGCTGTCCGTGACGTAGTGGTAGACCTCCATGTTCTTGTCCAGGGCCTCCACCACTTTGCTCTGCAGCAGGTCCTCATCCCAGAGATGACGTTCCCGAAGCACCCGGTGCAGCACTGTGGCAGGAGGGGCCTCGACGTCCGTGGACACCTTCCACAAGCGCAGAGGGTGCCCGTCCCCAACCTGACGGGCCAAGGGAAAGGTCAGGCAGGCTATTCTGCAGGACCCCCACAATGCTAACCCCCCAAACGGCTTCAGTGATGACTCCCAGTGCCATGCAGCAGCACCATCGCATCTGCGTGCTAGGGATGGGATGGGATGGGATGGGATGGGATGGGATGGGATGGGATGGGAGCTGCTCTGGCTGCTGGAGAGGGGCTGGATGCAGGCAACCAACTCCTCTGCTAACACCACCACAGTGGGATCTCTGCCGGAACTGCTGGGCACAGAGCACCCTCCATCCCAGAGCTGTCCATCTCTCAGCCCCACCTCTGGACAGGGAAGGGGTCGCCGATCCCTCCTTGCCAAAGGGAACAAACGCCAAGGGGTGGTTAGCCAGTTGGCAGGTGGCCGCAGGACCTGTGGCACCCCGTGGTCACCCCTACATATTTCGCATGTCTACCCAAGCCTCCCACCACACAGTGGCATTTACCTTTTTGCAGGAGAGCTCCGTGTTCAGGGGCCCTGGCGTGCTCAGCCACCCCTTGAATTTCTCCGACGACTCTTTGAGCAGGTTCTGGACACTCTGCTCGAAGTAGGAGTGTAAATCCTTGCTTTCCCCCTGACACACGAAGTCAGCCAGGGGATGTGGGTAAGCATCTGCTGCCATATATGAACTGCTCAGCTGGAGCAAGATGTCGTGGGATACCTAAAACACAAGAGCATATAGATCTTCAGCAAGCCAGAGGGATCCTACGTGGACTTTGTGAGTGGTCCTGGGCAGCCAGAAAACCACAACTCCCCATCTCACCAAGGAGGGAGGAAGGATGGACACAGCCTCCCTGGACATACATCCTGCAGTTTGTGACCTGCACCACAATAAGATCCAGATGGGCTTTGCTCCTGGGGCTGACCGACTGGTGGCAGCTGCCCCACTGAAGAACGGGTGCCTTTATCTTGCCCCACACTGACTCGGCTGGACCAGCACCCCACCGGGGAGGTCAGATCTCCCACTGGCAGCGCCCAGGGAAGGCAATGCCAGGCTGGACACGCCGCAGTCACCCACCTGGAAAAGCTTCTTGCAGTCGATGATCATGTGGGAGAGCCCCTGTGTTGCAGCCATGTTCTCGTTGAGGTCCTTCTGGTCAGGCTTCCCCATGGTGCCCCTCTTATGTATGGCCCTGCGGGGGAGTAGGCATTGCTGGGACCGGCTGGGCATCCCACCCGCCTCTATGTCCCCATTGCTCTGCTTTGCGTTGCAGAGCGCGGGACCTCCATATTGCAAAGCAGAGCAGAGCGATGCGGGGCTGTGTGAAAGCATGCGCATTCCCACCATGCCTTGTCCCAGATGTCCATCCTCCCAGGATGGACCGGGAAGGGGTGATGGGGAGACAGGGAGTCTGGGGAGGCCAAGGCTAGTCCAACCCTTACCTTGGTGAGGTGCTTTCCTTCTTGCACACGTTGAGGTGGAAGATGGAGGGGGCCAGGCACACAGCCAGGTTCCCGGCGGTCATCTGGTTCTCCTCCGCGGAGGCGATGTCGCTCAGGAAGTAGAGCAGGGTCTGCAGCACCTCCCGGTTCTCGTCCGGCATGAGGATAACGGCTGCCTGCACAGCCTGCAGCCGCTGCTCCCTCGACACGCCCGCAAAGCTGATGGTCAGTAAGTCCATCCCCGCGGGCCACCACCTGCCTCCACTGCCTCTGCCCAAATGAAGAGACACCTCCTCCCTGGGAGACCCTGACTTTCATCCCCCGCCCAGGGGCGACCAGCCCCAGCCCAGCACTTACACTGGTATATCTGCAGGAAGGTGTCCGTCAGCTTGCTGGTGAAGATGGGCTCCGGCAGGTCACGGAAATACTGCTTCAGCAGGTCAGCCACGTCGTACGCTGACTGCCCGTCGTAGTTGACGTTGTCGGGGCTGGTTTCATTCATGTGCCGGAGCGCCTGAATCCGGGACTTCACCCCTGACTTTCGGAAAATGCCAACCTGCCAGGAAAGAGCAGGTTGGTGCTCAAGTGCAGAGCAGGCACCAACCCAGCAGGGGCCTGGGTGGACTCCCATGAGACAGGCGAGGAAGCCCCTGCCCCAAAGACCTCACTCCCCTCCAACCCAGAGAAGAAGTCTGAGTGAGAGATGGCCAAGGAGACACCAGTGGGTGTGGAGTTCCTACAGACAATCCCACCCTCCTGCTTCACCACAGCCGAGCGCTGCAAGAGGTGAACAAAAAAGCACCCCTGCAAGCTAGCTTTTTCCCCAAATCAGAGTGCTGCTGCTCAGCGGCGGGCTCGGAGCTGCCCCGCAGCCACAGGCGGTGGTTGCAGCATCACCTGGTCCAGGCACTGGCTGCGGATGTAGCGCATGGCCTGCTGGATGCTCTGTGGAAGGGGCTGCCCTGTCCGCTGCACGTTGATGATGGGCGGCACCCCGAAGACCACCTTGTCCCTGTAGTCGGGGACTTTACTCCGCTTCATGAACTTGGGCACAGTCCTGTGGAGTGGGACAGACAGACGTCAGCGCAACGAAGAGCTCCCTCAGCACCACCTCGCAGAGGGGAGCAGGACCCCAGGTAACACACACACGCCATATTTTGAATATAAGCAAGGCAGCTTTTGAGCAGGAACTGCAGCACCTTTTATTAAGCCAAAATGCTTTAATACTTGGCTACAAAAGCAAACCACTGTCCTGCTCTCTTACGTTGCTGCAGCATTTTTAATGCCCCACAAACACCTGCAGCCCTCCCGGGTGCAGATGATGCTGGGGGCCCAGGTGTCAGCCCCCACCTCACACTTGCAAGGGTGCCCACAGCCAGGCAGAGCAAAGCCAGCTTCTCTTTCGGCTTTTTCTCCTCCCTCTCCACCATCTTTGCACACCAAAGCAGCCCCAGGCTGCGGGCCCCGGGCTGAGAAGCAGCGCCAGACCCAGCGCAGAGCTGCAGCCTGCACCCACCGCGAGGGCACCGTCCCGGTCCCGCTCCCCACCAGCTCACCACGTCCAGGCTTGCTTGTGGGGCACGGAGTACTTCTCCATGATGGCCGTGAGTCGGAGGAGGGAGCACTTCTGGAGCAGGTTGAGCTGAGCAGAGGACTGGCGGTTGATCTCCAGGGAGGCAGAGTTCAGGCTGGGCCGGTGTGAGTTCTGGAAACTGTGCCAGCGCAGCTTTCTGTGGGGAAACACCGGTGATGGCAGAGCTGGAGACCCCAGGGAAGGGCCTTTCCCTCCCCGCAGCACCCACTGCTCTGGGGGAAGGTGCGGGCACAGCAGCAGTCGGGATACCAATACCCGCCCCGGTCCCACCAGTGCTGCTATCTCCCCCTGGGTGCTCTCAAACTCAGTGCGAGAGGGTGTCGGGGAGAGTATGAGAGACACTTTCCCTTGCCTCAGAGAACTGCTCCCTCCCCCCAGGTTCCCCTGAAACAACCAGCACCCTCTCACTTGCAGCCCCTGCAGAGCCGTGGGGCTACACAGGCTCACTGCGCCTGCCCCAGCACCCAAGGGCTGTGCTGGGCTACAGCCCTGCCAGGAGACCTGGGAGAGCTCAGATGCTCAGGGTGACACATGCCTGCAGGACCACCACACACAGCAATGCCATGGCAATGGGGGCATCTCCAACACTTGTTTTCTCAAGAAGAAAAGACACCCCAATGAGTTAGTGCTGTGTTTAGCCTGCTAAAACCCTTCCCGAGTCTGTGCTGCTCTGGGAAGGCTCCTGCCCGGCTGCTCCGGTGCATCCCCAACTCCAGAAGGGACATTCCCAGCTAACAAAAAAACCCCATCCCTCTTTATTCCTGCCTGCACCCACAACACCCTCCAGTGTCAGCCTAGCAGGGGCTAGAAAAGTCACAGAATCCAGAAACGGCTGGAATTTTCTAAGGGAAAAGCCCAAGAGAGCACTAGCACGCTGCAAGCAAGTGCCTCCTTCATTAGAGGAGACCTGTTATTAGTAAATAAAAACCCATTTAATTACGTGTCTGTGCAGGCAGAGAGGTGGCAGCCCGTACAGCAGCAGGGCTGGCAGTGGTGGCTTGCGGCCGCCAGAGCGCACCAGCGCCCTGCGCTGAGCTCCCCCTGCCCGTCCCGCACCGCCCCGTCCCCATCTCCCCGTTCCTGCCCGCTTCTGCCATGCGGGAAAAAGGTCGATCGCCAAGCCAGGGCTTGCAGGGCACCGGCCAGGACACCCCCAGGCAACGGCTCCGGTGCTGTGCCACAGGCAGCGCATCCCTGCTGCAGAAGCACATGTTGATGGGAGATGGGCTTGCGGTGAACACCAGCAGCTCCAGGACCAAGTCCTTCCTAAGAGTGGTGGAAGGAAGGAGAACACAGCCCCAGCCCCAGCCCGTGCTTACCTGCAGGGCCTGGTGAGCGATGCTCCCACCCCCGAGTCCCGGCGCTCCCGCATCTCAATCTCCTCGGCCTCGTTGAGGGAGTTGCCCGTGCTGTCAAAGTCACTGGCAGAGGTGCCAACATCCGACATGGATCGCTCTTCGAAGTGCAGGTTGGAGGGTTCCCCTCCCGAGTCCGACTCCTCATCCTCATCCTCCTCCTCCTCACCCCCCTCCTCCCCAGCCAGGTCAGGGGAGATGGCTTTATACCAGAGCTCCACCTTCTGCTGCAGCCCCCACATGTGCTGTAGGATGTCGTCGAGGTTCTCATAGGTCACCTCCCCATCTTCCTTGCAGAAATCCTCGCTGCTGCCGAACTCCGGCACATTGTCGTACACGCTGACCCGGCTGCCCAGGGAGCTGCAGGAGCCCCGACGGCGGCGGCAAGCGAAACCCCGCGGGGAGGACGAACCCTCCACGCTGCTGTTGCTGCCGCCCCCGCCGCCTCCCACCAGCCCAACCGGCACATTCCCCGATTTCCAGTGGGTCAGGGAGCTGCCGCCCAAGGGACACAAGCTCTCGATGGAGAGGGATTTGGGAAAGGTGCCCGGCTTGTGGTCCTGGGGGATGTAGACCAAGCAGTCCCCCCGATGACCCTGCCGGTGCTGGCAGTCTCCAGCAGCCCAGTCGCCGCTGGCTGTCACGGCCGTTTTGTAGTCCTCCAGGTAGACTCCACTGCGTTTCGAGTCAGAGCTCACCTTGCTCCTGCCTGAGCCTAGCAAGCGGTTAGTCCTGTATGATACCGAGAAGAAGTGTTTTTTGCCATGAAAAGAGGCAGATACCCCTCTTTTAGGGGAGTTGGCCTTGGTGGCTGCGAGGTCCCCATTAGTCTTCAGGGATCCCCATCCTGGTGCGGCTGTGATGCTGTCATGTGGGACGACCTTCTCGTCTGGGTTGTCTTTCTCTTTGTCCCTCCTTCGGAGGGACTCGATCCTCTTCAAGAAGCTGCGAGACCGTCGCTTCTTTGGTTTCTCCTTGGAGCCCTCGCCGTGGCTCAAGGGCTGCTCTGGCAAGGAGCGCTCACTTAAGCTGCAGCTGGAGGTGGCGATAGCAGCGGTAGTGCAGATGGGGGACGGGGGACCAGGCGGCACAGCTCTGACACCCAGTGTGCCGCCTGTGCTGCCGGTGCTGCCCGTGCTGTGCAGGGACACAGCCTCCGGGTTGGTGCTGAGGTCCGTGAGGACGCTCTCGCGGCTGGACGCCAGTCGCATGGTGGAGCTCAGGACCTCGGAGCCCTGGGAGAGGACGTCGACCGACCCCACCCGCGACCACCTCTTGCTGTCCCGCTGAAAAGCCCACCGGTTGCTGATGGCACACAGGTCTTCCTCCTCAGAGTCTTCATTCTGCAGGTGGTTGACAACAGGGAACAATCAATTAGTCAGAGCCACAGAGGGTCGGCGCGTCCTCCCGCCCTGCTCTCTTCTCCTGGGACAAGCACCCCAGCAAAGGGCACGGCCCACAGCACGGCCCCTTAAGCCTACTCTGGTTCTCTTTGGCAACGCAGGGCTCCAGGATCCAGCAGGCATCATTTTGCCCATGCCCAAGGGCCATACAGCACTGGGAAAGGGAAGATGCTGCTTCTAGGCTTCCTCTGGATGGCTCACAGGCAGTCAGGACATCCCTACGGAGCCTCCCCGCAAACCCATGGCCGCGTACAGCAGCGCACAGCAGCACAGGATGCAGTGCAGCATCCCTTCCCAAGTCAAAATAAGGGCAATCAGAACAAGAAGGGATACGCCCACGTAATGATTTCCATATGCTAAACACAAAGCTGGTGCGCATTATAAATGTATTATTCATTAAGGGAAATAGAAAAGGCTTTGTTATTAATATGCCAATATTAATTGCTGTCGTGACACGTGGGCTGGTTTCACCCATCCCTCCAGGGTCAGGCTTCCTCCTGGAGACACGCTGCCGGGGAGTCTCAGAGCCCGGCTCAGCAGAGACCCCGAGGGTGACGGTGCAGGTTAGAGGACACAGCCCTGCGCAGACCACCACGGCTGTCCCAGCACGGGTGCAGCAACTCCTGCGGTTTGACCGCTGCTGCCACAGCCTCGGGGAGGTGTGTGGGCACAGGGCAAACACAGGCACCTGCTAATTCAGCCAACCACTTCTGGGGCTGTGTCTGTCCTGGGAGACAGCGAAACGAATAAACCGGCAGCGCCGGGTGCTGCTCCGTGCCCGGGGGCAGTCCTGGCGCACACCAGTGTTATTACTCAACACAGGACTGCTGCCCCGCCGGTGCGCGCCCATTCCCCCGTGCCCCTCAGCCCCTCGCCTGCCCTCGAACACCTGGGACGTACCTGTTTACGCTGAAAGTGGACTTCCAGCTTCATGGAGGCACATGTGTTCAGGGTCATCAGCCTCCTGCAAGAAACCAAGAGAGGCTTTACCCCGGTCCTGGCCCCTGCTGGGGCCGCAGTGCTTGCTTTTTCTTGTTCTTTTTTTTATTTTCCCTTTTTTTTTTTTCCCCCTTTTTTTTTTTTTTTTTCCTCCGTTTCTGTCTTAGAGCCCTTGTTGTTCGCTGTCACCTGTCACCCAGCAGCTGCGGCTCCAGGGATCAGAGGGAGACACGGAGCCCGGCACAGCCCCAAGCCCGCTCCCAGGGGAGCACGGTGGCCCAAGCGGCACCGCTGCCGGCCGGATCTCTACGGGCACCCCGTACCCCCGCCACCCGCCCAGGCACCCAGTCACACGCGCCTTGGGCATCGCAGCCAAGGGGTGAAACCGCGCCAGCGCACGGGTGGCACAAGCCCTTGGCCCCCCACCAGCAGGGATTTTGCAAGCGTAGCCATCGGAGCAGCACTCCACTGCCTCTGCGCAGGCACCGGGATGTCTCGGCCATGCCTAAATGCCCGCAGCCACCCCAGCGCCCGGTGTTCGCTCTCCCACAATCAAAGGACCTCAAAGGCCCCCCATCCCCCACCCGCTCACGCCACCACTGGGCTGCCGGGGCTGCAGGGGTGTCAGTCACCTCTCAGGCAGCGCTTGTCGGGTGCCCCGGCTCCCTCCGCCTGCTGGGGGTTTGCCTTGGCCATGAGACGGCCCCGTCGATGGCTGGGGGGGGGCAGCCATGGCCCCCAGCCCTCTGTCTGCAGAGGACCAGCCTGGCCCTGGTGGCTGCCGGGGGTGTTTCTGCTATTTCCAAGGGTGAACCCCCTGTGGGCTTGGGGACACCCATTGCCTCAAACATGGCTGCCAGGCGCCCTCGGGACAGGGCTGCCCCCTCGCCAGGCCCTTCACCTTTCCCTAGCCTACAGCTTCCAGCCCTGACTTTCTTCATTACACAAGTGAACGAATCTCCAGTTAATTCACTTTAATTAACACCTTCATGAACACTACTACGAGCACTTTTGTCCCAGTGCACAAGTACCCATGTCTGCACAGCCAAAAAATAAACCTCAGAGACATATTACCAAAAATTTGACTAATGCCCCTCTTGCAATCCCACTGAACCCCCCTCCCGCCCCCGCTCCCAACAGCGTGGTCCTGCAGCGCATCCTACAGCAGGATTAAATGCAGGATGACCGGCAGAGGGAACAAGATGGGGGCACACACATGCTAGGGGGGAAGAGAACACATCCAAGGGATTCATTTTCTTGGAGGAGCAGCATTTTCCAGTGTCCTTTTAGACCTTTTTGTTAAGCAAATGCTGCATGAGGCCACTTCAGGGACCCGAGGGAGACAGCTCAGGGGGACGGGGACATTGTGGCCTTATGTGTCCCACCCAGCTGCACCGGTCCCGCGAGCAGACAGCGATGACCTGCTCCAGGTTATTAGAGGAAAACAATCTCAGAAGCTCCTGTGGTCAGGTAGGTGACCACAAAAAGACCAGAAAGCTCAGACGGGGTGGGATGGTCAGAGACCTCTCACCATCTCCCACCCTGCTGGGACCACTGGGAGGGAAAACCAGGAGCTCACAGGCACGCAGGAAGCAGTGCAGGGAAGCCCCTCCTGCCCAGCACAAAAGCATCTCTGTTGGGAAAACAAATAAGTAACAGAGCATTTTCCCCATCCCTTGTCCACTTCATTTGGCAGCAGAGTGTGTGGGAGGGACAGCGAGAGGCAATGGTCATGTCTCAGCGTGGAGTCAGCGTGGGGGCACGGGCACGATGATGTGGCCCAAAAACCAAATCAGGGCTGAATCACTGTGTGCCAGTGTGACACACAGCCTGTCTGGACAGACAGATGCTGGGACGCGGCCTGGGGAGGGGGGTCCCTCCTTTTGGGTGTTTGCTGTTGCTCATGCTGGCAGCACGGGGAGAGTTGGTCCCCCCCGGCCAAGACACACGCTGCCTCCCTGCAGCAACACAGCCGGTGGCATCTCCCGCAGCTATTTTCAGCCCTGATGCTGCAAGGAGTAGCGTGTCCTGGTGGAAAATGTACGGCCGGGCTGCGTTGCCAGGCGCCGGGATGACTAACGTCACACGAAGCCAGCGAGCACTTGGGAAGGCAGAAATCCTCGGGCAGAGCAGCCAAACGTGAGGAGGGACCCACCAGCACAGACCTCACCTGTGCAAAGCCAACCGCAGCGCAAACCGACAGCTCCCCAACCGCCGCCGCGAGCGCCCGCAGCTCCTAATGACCCGCACGAAGCGCTAATTAACAGCGTGCGACTTCCATGGAGCACTTCACGCTGCACCAAGGCTCAGTGAATCCCTCGCTGCGTGTTTTCTCTCTTTGGCGGGCGGCACACGCCTGGTGACCGAGTGAAACTCCGTCCGCAGACACCGTTTCATCCACGGGCACTTTGACCTGAGTCGGCTTTATGCCAACAACCAAGCAAGACCCCTTCGCTCTGATACAGACACACAGTTTCCAAACTTCATTTCGTTCTCAGAGATGACACGAGCTTGCGAAATAAAGCAACATAAAACCCACCCCGGGGCAGACACAGCTCCCTCCCCTGGGGACCACAGCCCGCCAGTGCCACCCAGGGCAGCCAGCGGTGGAAGGGGAGAGCACGGGCAGCGGGGACACCAGAACCGGGTCTCTCTTTGCACCTCTGCTCAGTTTGAGAATTCAGCTCTGACCAATCCCTTTCTAATCGAGTTCCACAGGCCGGAGTTACCCAAGCTTGAAATTGAAACACAGCCTGAAAGCCACACAAAGAGAAGAATTATTCCTGGGAAATGTTTCCGTTCTCCAGGAGCTCTGCAAGTTCAAAACAAAAAAACCCACTGCTGTTTGCCTGGCACCACCCAACAGCCAGCAATGCTGTCCGATTCCAAAGGATCCAAACTCCTCCTCACAGAGACAGCAGAGAGTGCTCGAGCAGGCTCTGAGCAGCAGCCGGGGTGCGGGGCAGGCACTCCACAGCACCCACAGCTCAACCCACCGGGGACCGCGGGCAGCCCCGAGCCCTTGCCTGGGGCGCATCCTCACGCTGGCTCCGCCGCCTGCAGTCACGAAGGGATGCGAGGGAACATTACCTGCACAGGGATTTGAGGGAGTCCTGGTCCAGGAAGCTGTGGTCCTTCTTCACAGCACCGATGTCGAGAGGGAACAATGAGTCTGGGGAGGAAAGCGAGAGGAAAATCAGCGGCTGTTTCCCCGCCAGCCGCTTCACCGCGTGTAAGGGATGGTGGTGAGCATGGGAGGAGATGCTGTGAGGAGCAAGAGGAGGAGAGATGCCAAGGATGGGGAGTTGGAGAAGCGGGAGAGCAGTGAAGAGGAAAGGTGTGGGAGGCTCCTGGGTCATGAGTATGAGTCAAAAGAAGCCGGCAAGGCTGGGGCAGCGCATTGCCACCGGGAGCTGCCACCTGTGACAGTCGTGGCTGCAGGAGGAGAACCTACAGAGACGGACAGTCTCGCTGGGTTGCAGCTCTCCACAGACAGGACTCAACCCAGGCTCCCAGCAGCAGTTTCTCCCGAGGGACCACTTTTTGCCCACAGCTCCAGGAGGCAGCCAGCAAAGTGCAAGAGCAAGACGCAGAGAAGGGCTGGCGCAGAGGGGCCGGGGATGCTGTGGTACCGTGGTGGTGAGCACATGCCAAATGCAGAGGTGGGAGGGATGGACCAGGCAGAGGAGAGGGGTGGAAACAAGCCCCACCAGGCCAGGAGCAATAGGGCATCAGTGTCATGCAGCAGATACCCCTCACATCGCCTCCTCCTCAGACAGTTTCCCCCTCGCAGGACAAACAACCCTGTCACCGCACTGGGGACCTTGGCATGCCTGGGACAGATAAAGCTCATGGCAAATGCTCCTGCTGGGCTGGGGTGCTGGGACGGCTGTAGCACTCGGAGGATGAGCTGATTCAGAAATAACCACCAGCCCTTCGCAGCGCTTTCACACGCCCACGCAGGTACCACCGCACAGCTCTCCTCCCAGCTGAGCACATCTGGAGCCACCACCTCCTTGGGGGTGCCGGCTGCACGCACCGCAGGGGGATAGGGAACCCCTCGCCTTCTCCTCTCGGCACCTCATGGTGGTTTTTGGAGTGTGGTCACCTCCCTAACACTGCCCAAGACATCTTGGTGTCCCATAAGGTTCATCTCATGGGTTACTCTCTTCTCCCACCGATCCCCCAGAGTCAAGAAAGCCTCTCAGCTCCCTGGGGAGAGCTAAGAGCTACTAAGAGGTCCCCCAGGAGCAATAAAGCCGTACCGGTATAGTGGTACAGTAGATCTAGCGTCTCATTCAATCTCCCCACACGCCTCAAAGGCCATGGGTCAGGTCTCCACAGGCAGATGTGCTCACCGGCCTCAGGGCAGTAGCTGGAGGACCTGCCAGAGGCAGTACCTGCCCAGGGCCTTTGCGCAATGCTCTTTCCAGGTAAGTTATGTGAGGGTGGCGAGGTGCCCAAGGGCCTCCACCGAGTTTCCTCCTCATCTCCGTGTACTTGGAGACAGCTCTGCTGGGATTAGCTACGTAGGACCTGGACCACTAACCACAAGCGTCTAAGCCCAGCTGTTAATGAAGCTATGGAGTGCAATTACCAAGGGGACACTGAGCCCTGCCAGCTGGGGAGAAAAACAGAATGAAACACTCAGAGGATGTGGAAAGTTTTGCTCAGAAAGGCTGGAAAAAAGGGTCGGTTTATTCATAGACTCCGTCACCCAGCACCCACACCTCACCGCCCCGGGCTGTGAGCGCTATTGGGGGCCAACACCTGGGGCTGGGTCTCCCCTGCAGGAATCCGGACAGCCCTTGCACGTGGCCGTGCGAGGAGCCTGCCCCCTAAAATAGAAACCAGAGGCAAACAGGCAGCCTGTAAAGCCATCACCCGAGGGGCGAGAGCGTGGCTCCCGCACACGTGTTGTGGGGGGCGGTGGAAGTGCCCGGCCAAACAATAGCCATCGCCGCAGCCTGCCGGAGACCCGGCTTCCCGCTATTGTCCCGGCTGGCCGGGGCCGGCTGCAGCCACCGCTCCTCAGCACCAGCCCCCCCCGGCAGGGACCAGTGGTCCCACCATGGGTTTGAAGTAAACACAGCTGAGCCGGAGGCAAGACCCACCGCCAGAGTCACCCTGCAAACCGCCCGTGGGGGCATGGCGGGGGAGATGGGAGAAGGTCCGTCGAGGGGATCTGCCCGTGCCCTGCACCCTG